AGGGATAGGGCCCATCTGGCCGCCCCTCATCCCGGTTCCTGTTCTTCGTTGGCCATGTAGACGGAAAAGGGGGTTTGAGGGCAAGTAACTCCGAACTGGTGAAAGTGGTCTGTTGGTGCTTTCAATCGAACAGTTATCACGCTCTGTTATGAGTATTGAAGAATAGGAGGATTGTTTGCATACTACATCGGGAACCATCATGTGAACATTGCTCAATGTGTGATATAAGTATATGAAAATAAGAAATTGATAATTTGTTTGTTGTTAATGTTTCATTATCCAGCTGTATCAATGGGGATGTTCCAATATTTCGCCTCAGTTTGAAAGCTACAGTTATATGAAACCATGCATTGCTTCAGAGACCATATGGTCTCTTATTGCTTGGACATCTCAAGAATAACACGTGTTTCCTTTGCTCTGGGAAAGTCTGATGACACATTGATCCGTTATGTCAAAGATCAGTGTCATAGCCAGACAAAAAGATTGTTTATGGCCAAACTCTTCCTTAGGACAGGGGTCGAAGTTGGCAAACGGTCATGCATGACCATCATATACTTCATTTTTCTCTAAAGTGCCTTTTTTTCTGCAGAAGTCTTAGTAACTCTTTTATACATATAGTGGCTATATCATTTTCATATCTTTGTCAATTTTGCATTGAATTCCACCAAAGGACATCATATTGGGTTAATGTCCTGGATAGCTCTTCGAAATGTTTTTAAAATGTTTGTCACTGATATTGAAGGTCAAATTCACTGTAAAGGTCAAAGGTCATAACCCATGAAGGGTTGAAGTGTAAGGTTAAGGCAATAGTAAAGACAACCATAAAGTATTTTTTTTCCATTATCACAAAAATGCCTATTTCTGGAGTCAATTGTGAAGTAGTATGCATATAGTGTGATATGTTATATTATTTTAATACACATGTATGAGTAGTGGTAACAAGTCACAGTGCCCTAATGAGAAGCATAAGCCATATTTTCATTGTAGCATATATTTCTGCTTAGGGCCTTCATAAGTGGTTTATTTTCTGGATAGCCCTTTGCAATTGTTTTTGATATAGTCGCAACTGATATTGACGGTCATATTAACTCTTAATGTCTTTCAGTAAAAATGTTCACAGTACATGAGGTAGAGCTCACTGTAGTGCGATGAAATCTGGTGTATGTCACCCTCAGAGTAGGGCATATTGTGTTTCAAACGTCAATGAAGCTAGTATGTCTAGATATAAAAAAGTACAAAAGTTACAAATAATCTTATCATCTCACCAGGACCAAAGGCTAAAAGTGAGCACACAGTCGAAGACCTTATACTTTTACTCAGAACAAACTGGAAGTCCGAATATGAAATTTAAGGATATCATCATACATGTATTAGAACTGAAGTTTTTGCATTAAATATCTTAACATCTAAAAAGAAAGATAAATGAAACTGAAAAATTGTCTTCTCCAAAAGCCCATGCCCATAGATCTCGGCTTTAAGGGGATATTTACAACTAACATAACACAGAATATTACTGCAGCTATCTGATATGCCCGGGCATATTGACAAGAAAATACCCCCCCCCCAATCATAACGCTAACCCCATCAAACCTTTGCACTTCCTGTACGCAGTTTTCGGCGCAACGTTCTCCCCGGCGTCTCTACATGTAGACCCGTGCTTTCCATCCCCTCGACGGAGGAGAAATCTTGATTCGTCGCTGATCTAGACATCTCTCTATTCTCCATCGCAGCTGAAGCCATACCCTGTGTTGACTACGCCAATGCACTCGTTGTTGACGATGTTGTCGACTCAATATGACGCGTCGAGCAGGACGTCTTGCTCGTAGACCTGCTGCTCTTGAACAGTTCCGTACCATCTGGTTCGGATATTATGCATAGTCCGGGTACTTGGGATGCGGTTGAGGTGGCTGTGGTCGTCCTTTCACGTAGGTGGCGCAGTCGGATGTAGCGATCTTACTCCTGGTCGTCCCGACCTTGGCCGATCACGTGTTGATCCATGCTGTTGAAACCGTGATGGTGCTGGGCGCTACATTGAAAACCCTGGCTACAGCTGATCGGGATTCCTCTGCCTGCAAGTGGCCTGTGACGTTGTTTCTTTGCACTTCTGTTAATCTTGGCATGCTGTTGAACTGTCACTGACGCAGATGCCAGGCAATCAAAAACCCTGTTCTTTAATACCATTCATCGTGCGTGCAGCCTCATGGCCCTTGTGTTAATGCACTGTTCGCGTTTTTCCGAATCATATGCGCTTCCCGACTTATGGCTTGCATGTCCTTGTTGTGATCATTTTGATCCGGGACATTTGTCACTGATACAATAGCACTTTAAACCTCTCCATTTTGCACTTCTTAGTCCGCTACTTTTGCTTTTATGGCCAAAAATATCCGTTTTGCGTTGTTGAAGAAAATCTTTTTAGACTTGCACTAAAACGCTTCCATACAATAATGTTAAATATGACCTGGACATTTTTTATCACAAATCAACTATTCGCAGACTAGAGCATTTTGCAAAAGGTCGATATTCAAGATTAGCTGTATGCAGTTTTCAATTACACACCTCCATACACATCAATGTATTTACACAATAATTTGAGCAATTCACCATTGAAGCCAAATTAAGGCTTTTCGTTTAACTTTGCCTTTGAACTTATGTACACACTTAAATATAATATTTTGGTAGTGATTTCTCATAGATATCGAACGGTTACATACAAACAGACACGCCGCAAAGGTTACAGATAAATAAATGATAATTGACGCACGTTAGTACTTAATGGAGACATGGTGAGCCTTAAAAAATTTTCAAGATTGTATCAAATGTCAACTTAGTTATCAAATTTATACAGTTGTGTTTTGTTGGTTGATTTGTTGTTTAACGCCGCACTAAGCAATATCTGGACCAGACAATCCAGTGATTAATATCATGAACATCGACCACGCACTTGGTATCGATGACATGCATCAACCAAGTCAGCGATTCTGACCACCCGTTCCCGTTAGTCGCCTTTTACGACAAGCATAGTAACCTTTTGCGGCAAGCATGGGTTGCCGAAGACCTATTCTACCCCGGTATCACGGGTCTTATGTTTTGTACTTATTGATGATAATGTTATTGGATAATAAATACAATATCACCCTTATGGTTTTTTTTAATATCAAATACGATTTATATCAAAACACCACGACAGAAGTAGAAAATATCTTCTACACGTCTTAGCGTTTTGACATTAATCAACTTGTGTTTATATATCTGATACCAAAGGAAGTTCTGTGATATTCTCTATTCTTACCTTCATGTGAGTGAAAAACCAATTTGAGATAAATGGTATCAAAGATATGTGTGATATCGAATTTCAGGTCCGTGATAGGTGACTCCATAGTGCTGACCTAAGGACAGATTATGACTGACTACCTTCCTGATTGTAATTCATTGATACGTTCACTCGTGCTTCAGTCGAAATCACCTACGTCTGTGTCGAAACTTTACAGTTTAGGGTGAACTAAATGTTCTTAGATCTTATCTAGTTTACATTATCGCCTTGTTAATCAACACATATGGCGGAAATGTTTTTGCAGAGGGTCACACCAGTTACACTACACCACAAAGGTGTTTTACTTTATTTCGCAAAATTTCAGCGGCGACTACGCGGAATGTTTGTCAATATTTTGCGTAGCGACGCGGCGCTACGCAAGCACTCCGCGGAGCTACTTCTGCGAGTCTAATTGCCCCTTTTATGGGACCAATGAGTTTTATGACCCCCGGGCTTTGGCAATAAGCGTGGTGCTGGAAGACAGGTTTAACATGTACATCCCATATGGTGACTTTTTTCATATTCTATATTCAGTGTAAAAATACCCGCTCGGCGTTAGTAAATTATAGCTATGAACGCTTACTGGATATTACTTTACTCCTCATTCGGCAATATCACAGCATGTAATTAATCGAGTCTGGAACGGTTGGAAGGGCCGCTATAGAAACAATTGAACATAAATTGAATGTTTGTACAAAAAGGAATCTGATTTGGTGTATCCTGGATTGTATCGAAAACGTAACCTTGTCCATGCAACTGTTAACGGTTCTTTTTGCCGTGGGAAAGTTTGATATAGTGAAGTGTTGCAGACAGTTTCAGCAGTCGTATTGGTGTGAATATATTTCATATCGCCTTTTTCTTTGCCAGTTTCAGGATTTGGGGAAAATGTGAAACAAAGAAACATTTACAAATATGTAAATGAAATGTGGGAAATGCCCCGCGTATCTACACTTCTGCAGTGTAACATGTATAATGTGGAGTGAGTGAGATTTTACATTCAGGACTTGGTTTTACACCGTATTTGGACGGTGTATGCAGTTATATAAGGAAAGGCATGCAGTGAATTTAAAGTTTTGTATACTGTATGCCCGCCTTGGGCCTGGACTCACGACAACTCGACTTGTCCTGCTTGGCATTGAGAAACCTCCATACACTGCCTTTATGTAACAACGGTGATAATTTTAACGAAAACGAAAAGGATACAATTTCACCACCATTTAAACACCGTTTAAAACCAGAAAACATGTTTGTCGTTATCACTTAGAACTGTAAGTTTCAAAGCAGTGACTATTGAACGCCGCTTAAAACCTTAAAACCATATAGATGATCTTGACAGTTACGTTGTCACGTTCTCCTACTTTGTTTCGTACTCAGCTTACTGTTTGCATCTCGTTACGCTGCGGTAAGGAAAGGTAAGGGAACAAGGTACGGCTTGGTATAGGTCATTTTAAGACAATGAACCACAGAAAGGATTTCTATAAATGTGTCTCTGAGAATTACATAAGGCCGAGGAAATTCAAGTGGAGGACATAGAAAACATCTAATTCAAACAAAATAGATAATGGCTCAGACAAAATAACAAGCACTTCAATAAATACATATATCATTTAACTTAAGTTAATGACATAAAACATATTGTAGATTTATATTATGCATCATAAACAATAAAATCTCTTACATTAATACTCACTGTTTGTCTTCTTGTTGAATACAAACTGATCCAGTGCATTCTTCACAAAGGGAGACGTGCGACTATCAGACCATAACTTGTTGTTATAAGGCGGCTCATTATTTGAAAGTAATAAACATAACTTCATGAACCAGTTAAACATGATAAAACGAGTTTGTAGGACATCATGCGACAACAGTTCTGGTAATTCACATGCTCAAAACAAGACAGTGCATAATAATTAGAAACGATTCCTTATTAATATCATTTGTCAAATATTCATTAAAAATTGCTACGGATAAAAGTTATAAGCGACACAATTATGTCAATTACTATGATATTATAACATGGCGTTTCATCTCACATATGTGAGTGAGTGAGTATGGGTTTACGCCGCTTTTAGCAATATTCCAGCTATATTACGGCGGGGGACACCAGAAATGGGCTTCACGCATTGTACCCATGTCGGGAATCGGGGAATCGTCTTCGGCGTGACGAGCGAACGCTTTAACCTCTAGGCTACCCGACCGCCCCCATCTCACAGATGAATTATCACCACTGAGCGCAAAAACCTAGTATTCATATTCAGTTTAGTGTTGAATCCGATCAAGATGAAAGACCTGCAGTTTTGATTTGAAAATGGGCTTGACTGCTGATCTAATTTGAAAGTGAGCTTTGACTGCAGTTTTGATTTTAAAGTGAGCATGACTGCAGTTTTAATTTAAATTTATCAAAATAATAATACTACGTATAGATGTAATGTAAATGTTCTAAAGGAGGACAATATATTTACCTTTGTCTTTAAACTGCCATTTATCAGCTGAATTGTTAGTTAAACACCACACGAAGGTGATGAAATTTTCCCTATGGTATACTTTGATGAGAGAACAATTTTACGGACACCCCGTGTTGCAAGCGGGATTCGAACCCGTAAAGTCCCTACCGAAGACTAAACAATTTAGTATTCAGCCATGGCGACATGGAGGACACTATGTGGAATAAACAATGACTCATAGTCTGTCAGTATATATTCAGGGCCCTTTATGCAGACAGGCCATCGACAATAGTGCCGAGCTATGTCATTTGCGTGCACGACAGGACGAGCCATACACAGCTGCTGTTTGTTATTTATTACAAAACAAGGTGTTGTTTTTCACTGTATTTATGCATAAGACAATAGTTAATAATAAATAAATTACGAATAAATGTTCTCGGGTATCCTTTTCAAATAATAATGACAACGTCTTTGAAGAGCGTTTATTAGCTGAGCGATATTTCTCACGTGATTTTTTGGGCATTACTTTTTGGACATTGCTGTTCATTAGCAAAGAAAGGTTTCATGGCACATGCTGTTCGATCACGTCATGGTTACCTCCGGGGGATTTGGTAAGATAAATCGTCTGGAAATTATCAGTCCAGTCAGGTCCAACTAATAGGAAGAACAAAAATATGAATATCAATAACCTACTTTTTTTGGCAGCTTATTACCCATAATCCCACATTTTATAAAAAAAAACCAATTAACACACTTTAAACTGAAGCTGGGCAAAACCCTACTTACACTTGACCCCAGTGAAGTTAATTGAAACGCTCAGAATGTATCACAAACACCCCCACGCCGGTGATTTTATCCGAGTTAGAAATCACAAGCATGAGATCAGTGGCAAGGCATTTCAATGTTGCCCAGAAAACGATTTACTGCCGTTTACCACAATACAGTAACATGGCACTACTAGCATGACTAGAGATAGTCTAAGAGCAGGTAGACGTGTGGGTCCTTCACCTTCGAGAGAGGACATGCACTGCAACGTGCACTTTTACGTCCCATACCTGTACACACTGTCCGAAGCCGTTTACGAGCTGCCGGTGTCACGAAATATATTCGCCCCCAGAATAAAATCTCCCCCCGGCGAATTTATACCGGTACAGTTCCGCCCCTCTCGAAATAAACTCTCCCCCACCCTACGAAATAAAATCTCCCCCCAGAATATTTCCTCCCCCGGTCGTTTTATAAATACTTGCCATGCAGTTGCCAATAGTTTTAATGTTAATTTGTTTATGTGTTTTTTTCTCCTTTATTTTTTCTGAATTATACATTTAGTTACTTGTGTGGGGTGTGGGGTGTGTGGTGGGGGGTGTCCCACCTTTCCTTTCGTTTTTCATAATAATATATTTTTAAGTTGTATATAACGTATGAATCCCTTCTCAGATTACTTTATCTCAGTTCTATATGACGTACTATTTTACTTTTCTGTGTCGTTCTTGTTTTCTCTTCAGTGTGAGGTTAAACTGTATCATTTTTACTATTTTGATATTTTGCAATATGTTGTGTTCATCAGTTATGCAAATCAGTTTCGGTGTGTCTTTTTAACAAGATGTTCTTCATTAATATTCACCGCCAGCCCCATTGTAACAATTACATGTACACTTTGCTTTGACGATGCCGGTTGATGTTGTTCAATACAGGTGTTTTTGAATCTATTCTACATGCTAATCATTTCGGGAAGATGATACACATTATCTATATTTTGGGTTACTTTGCTTATAAAGATTATACATGTAAACGTACGCAGTCTTAGTAGATTTTAAAGTAGATTTAATCAGTGCTGAATTAGATAGTTATGATGTTGTATGTTTAACAGAAACCTGGTTGCACCATGATATTCTAGCCCCTGGTATTACACTGATACCATTTTCAAATGGTAGCCTGTATTAAGGAATATATTTTAGATCTTTAACCAGAGTATAACGGCGTGGATATGTTGACAGTTTTTACGTAGTTAGTGTTAAAACCGAATGTTTGCGAGGATTAATAAGATCTCTGAAATCAGTTATATCAGTAGTTCCGGTGTCACGAAATATATTCGCCCCCAGAACTGTTTCGATTTGCCAATGGAAATACTACACCATAAATGAACTGTTTCGATTTGCGCGGTTTCACCAACCGTTCAAGATAACTAATACTCTCTGTCAATGCGTTCAACGTGTAAATGCATTTCATACCTGATATACTGACATGGTCCCAGCTGGCAAACAAGACTTCTAAGAGCTTACTGTTTCGGCATAACTTCATCTATTCATCGGAGGCAACAGATCTTTGCAAACAATTGCGTCATCATCGATTTTCAGTGATCCATTAATATATTTGTACCGCTATTGTCAACGTTCACGCCAAAAGGAATTTTTTCGTTGGAAAATCGAACTTGGTTATTCTCTAGCATTGATGTTTCACATTTCTATGGTTGTTTACGACATGAGTATTGGTTGATAACAACATCTGGTGTCACATGACACAAAATAATATGTGTATGCCTGAAGTAGATAATATTTTATTCAGGAAATAATAGCTAGAATTGGTTACCCGAACAGACTAAATGGTTATATTTCCCTTTAATATAACAGTGTTTCAACACACAAAAATGTTAAACAAACACACGTTTGTGTTTACCGTTATACTTGCCCATGTAGCCGTCGTATACATGTAAATATATAAATGTTGTGTACAGTCATGGGTGGAATTGAATACAATATTGAAATAAGGAACGTGTTCATGAGGCGAGACATTTCAAAACAATATACAATCTAAAGTGTTGAATATCTTCTTTGGTTGACTACAAACTACAGTTTTTACACGTGCACATACCTTAGCTACATCATAAATAATATATATTTCATATTTTTTGTTATCTATAAATACCCACATCTAAAATCAACCAACATCCCAGAAATACAATTTCACGTAGTTAAAATTATAAATCTACTCAATAGAATACAAATGGATCCCAGAACGATGCTTGATTTCAGGACCAGAACTTAGGCAATCTAGACTTGTTAAATCATTCTTTACTTGGAGTCCGTTTCAAATATATTCTCTAGGATCTGGGGACAGATAGAGTAACACATAGTCAATGAAAACATTTCTTTAAAATATATTTTTTTTATTCGGAAGAACCTTTCTCCTTCTGCTGTTATGGAATAAACTAAACTAGACTTGGTTAGTATGATCTAGACTTGCCTAGGAATTTAGTAAAACAGAATACCTAAAAAATATAAATTCCACAGTCATGGCGCAGGACCAGGCCTAGGAGACAGACTACCGCGTGAGTATTGCATTGAGAACTGACAGAATCCCGCTAGGGTCAGCCTGGGCCAAGTCTAATCGGATATGTTGCTAGGTCTCGAGTTTGAACTGTTGGCATAATAGAACAAGCTTGGGCACAGTGGTGCAATAAAGGGGTTAGTTTTCTTCCGGGATTGTTAATGTAGAGATTAAAGCATTATCAACGCACAATTTGTCTGTTTTAAAAAGAAAATGTGCTATTGTGATTTCATATTCATAATAATGCTATGCTGTACCAGTACATGGATATTACTTGCTTGTACTCGAGGTACATTGATAACGTATGCTTGTAAAGGCTGGCATGGGACTCGGTGTAGCCGGTGTTGGTTTACTATCAACTATAATCGCCACGCCTATCGTACTTGACATGGAAATAGCCGCTGGAGTCTCTGGACTGGCAGGAATAGCGATACAATTTATTTATCGTAAGTTGCCAAAGAAAGCATTAAAACATGATAATATTCGGATACTCGCCGAATGAGTGAGTGAATTGGGTTTAACGCCGCTTTTAAAAGTATTCCAGTTACATCACGGCGTGTCAGCTTAATGTGGGAGGAAAGCCCGAAGTGATGCAGGTCTCAGACGTTTAGCACTTCGCTGAAACCCACGAGCACGGGTATGGTGCTGACAAACCTAGAAACATAATCGGGGCGAAGCGGGATTCGAACCCACAATCATAGGTTTCTGGCGTGCCCAAGGGACGCAACTCTGCACAGCGAATCGCGGCGCCTTAGACGACTGGGCCACCCGTGCCCCCGATACTCGCCGAAGCAAAGTTGAACAGCATTGAGGATCATATTTCAACAGCACTGGCTGATTGTAAGATATCCGAGGAGGATTTTCGTTCAGTGTTGTCAGAACTCACCAAATACAACACAATAAAGCAGGAGATTCGATCTTAATATCGTAAGATCAGTGGTATTAGCGAAGACGAGAAAAAAGTACATAGAACAGGGGATACAAGCGCGTCAATTATTCCGTGCCAAAACCAAAGA